GTGGGGGGTCCTCCTAAAGTATTAGTATTCGCATGATTACTATGACTACTGCTGTTATTATTGTTGTTACTCTCATTGTTAGCATTCTTGTAATTAAGTTTGATTGCTATTACTATGGCTATTCTTACCGTTATTATCGGTATCATCTTGGCCGAAGCCTTTCCGGTGACACGGGAGCGTAAACAAACTTGTGAGAAATGCCTTCCCACCATTGTTTGACCCTGTTTTGGAACATGGCCGCTTTCCAAACCAGCGACCTGCCTTTGACCAGGGCGTACCCAAGGCCTAGAGGAATTCAAGGACACAAGGAAAGACCGCAGGGGCTCGTATAGACTTGCTGCAGCTTGGCCATTTTTCAAGCCTGGGAACTATTGGGCACCTAGATCCTAGGGAGTATGTGCTTACAGTAACTTAAGCCCTAAACCCCATAGTTGCTAATCCTTGCATTTGGCCCCAAGATGTCTTGAGCTGCCAGCTGAGCACCCTCGACTTCATAAATTTTACACCGGCGACCAAAGGAATCCCCGATCAGGGTGTAGGGATATTGGAGAATCTCATGGGCAAGAAAATGGAAATCAAATGCAGACTCTAGGTCCCTGTAAAGGGGGTGTATAGGGTTTCATGATGGAGAACCGGAGGAAAGATGGAATGTATAGAGGCTTCTAGGGGATAAGTACCAATATTATGGCCAGGTTCCTTGTATAATTACGCTATGTAGTCGTCATGGTTGAGGGCGTTGGCTTGCACAGGGTTTGAAGTACTAGAATTTCTGGCAATATGATTGAAGGCATACTTTGTTAACGGGCTGTTGAGGTTCTGGGAACCACAAACTCTCAGGAGATAAAGCTGAATGAAGCTGCGTTGGAGCTTTGGCGGGCTGCAGATGGCAATCTCCTGCCAGTGCGAACTACGCATGTCCTTCGCGCGAAGGCGTGTCACTGTTACGGGATGATGTTAACAAAATCAAGACGCCGTGGAAGAAGCGAATTTCGCAGGCGTGCATACACAGATTCTATCTTGATGAATGCAGTTCCTTATGCGGGTTTCCCAAATTTTGGGGTACAACCTTGGGGGTTTGCGTAATCAGGATTATAGTATTTTGGGGTCTCTATTGGGGTCCTCAGGTCTCTTTCTCATCCCCTGAGGCGACAGTCTGCTTGTCAGCATGAACCCTAAGCCCTAAACCC